CCCCCCCGAAGGAAGAGATGATAGATGCTAGCGGAGGTGGTATCGGACGTACCGTGCAGAGTCTGGGTGGACGTTTGTTGGCGCCTCATATGGATGCGAAAAAGATTGCCAGAAGTTTTGGGAGCTTTGAACACGTAGACGTGCTGGTAAAAATTGCAGAAGTGGGAATACCCATCGCAGTAGGACCGGAGGGAGACCTGAAGCATGAGTTAGCGTACGGAAATCATGAGTTAGCGTACCTGAAGCATGAGTTAGCGTACGGAAATCACCCAAGCGCGCAAAAATGGCACGGAGCGATTTGGCAGAAGGTGGTGGAGGACGTAGAAGCAGGCAGGGCGGTGCTGTTCAGGAGAGGAGTTGCAGAAAAAAATCCAGATTTGCGCGTGTCCCCGGTCGGGGTGGTGGAGGAGAAAGAGAAACTTAGGGTGATACACGATCTGACTATACCAGTAGCGGAAGCAACGGGGGGGGAAGGGCGGCCGGTGAACGCCACCACTTTTTTTGAAGAAATTCCGGCGTGCGGGATGGCGACTGTAATGAAGGAGGTGTTAGAACGGTTCCTGGGGCTGAGAGCTAGGTATCCAAGGAGGACGATTTTGTTCCAAAAATGGACGTGAAAAGCGCGTTTCGCCAAATTCCAGTAGACCCCGCAGGGGCGCCGGCTTTCGGATNGACCTTCGGCTGCAGTTCGGATGGCGGGGCAGTCCTGGGTGGTGGGGGCTGGTGGCGTCGGCGATAGAACACGTACACCGACAGACGACGAGAGACACAGTACGGGTAACGTATTCCGCGGTACGGGCAGCGGCACACGTAAAGATCGCTCCGCCAACGGGAAAGGCGACAGTGCCGATTCCACCGCAATGCAAGGTGCAGCCGGCGGTAGGGTGGGGGGAAGAATGATTCGGCGTTTGTGCGGTTTTTCGTGGATGATGCGATTAGCGTGGAAGTACAGTGGGAAGACCAGGGGGAGCGGTGTCTGGAGTTGACCAAGGGGCTTGCGTCCACCCACCATGTATTATAAGGGGCGAGGGATGAGCAGGAGGAGCCACTACTGCCCGCAAAGAAGATGACAGACTGGAGGACGGAACATGTGGTGTTCGGGTGGTTGGTGGATACCAAAGCAGGGACGATCTCATTGCCGGAACAGAAAGGGCAGGATTTGAGAGAGAGAATAACGGAACGGCCAGAGCACAGGAAGCAGGCTACCGTGCGCGAGGTATTGATGTTGGCAGGGAAGCTGCACCACGCGGCCTTCGTTATCCGGCCCGGCCGTTACTTCGTACNTTCGTACATAGGCTTCTGCAGCTTGCCGGGCTGCATCTGAATGGGGTGGAACGGGCCGGAGGGGGGGACGCGTGGGGCAGACATAGGAAGAAGGCACAAGCACGCAAGGTAGTGAAGCTGACATGGGAGTTCATGGCAGAGGTGGGGTGGTGGCGGTGGTATCTAGGGGAAGGGGCGGGGGAGGGGGGCAGTAAGATAACGGCGGCGTCGTTCAGCTTTGCCAAGCAAGTTCGGTCGAGGAGCTGGTTTTCGGATGCGTCAAAGAGAGCATTGGGGGGGGGGTTGCATGGATACGAGGGGTTTCTGGAGGTACGAGTTGCCGGAGGAAGTACAAGGAAGGACGATCAGGGCGAGGCAGAAGGGAGAAGGGGACTTTATATGCATAAATGTACTAGAACTAATGACGATGGTAATGACGGCGTATGTGATGGTAATTTCGAGGGGGGATAAGCCGGAGCGGGAAGGAGAGGCGGTGATGATGAGGGCGGACAATGAGAGCGCCGTGTCGTGGGTGAAGAAGTGGGGGTGGGAGGGGAAGAAGAAGGCGAGGATAGGGGCACTGATGAGGATGATGGGAGCCTTGAAGACGATTGGGGGCTGGTGTTTTCAGACGAGGCATGTACCGGGCGTGGAGAATAGGGTAGCAGATGGCATAACGAGATGGAAGGAAGAAGAGATCGCTGACAACGTGCAATCGGAATCGCCCGGAACACGTTGGCAGGTGCAGGAGCTGAAGGCCGAGGAGCAGCAGCTATGTGCAGAGATTTTGCGTTGTCTTTGCCGTTGAGTAACCCGTACATCAAAGGGGTAGCGCAAGGTATTTAGAGAGGGCACGTGGAGAAAGGTACACAAGCAAGAGTGAGGAGACCTTTNCGTGGGGAAGCTCGTGGCGATAAATTTCTATCATCAACAGTTCCAGAACATGTCTTTGCCGTTGAGTAACCCGTACATCAAAGGGGTAGCGCAAGGTATTTAGAGAGGGCACGTGGAGAAAGGTACACAAGCAAGAGTGAGGAGACCTTTGACATGGGGAATGTTGAGTGCAATGCAGCAGACTGCTGGCGGTGAGGGTGCAGGGGGAAGAGTGCTATGGATCGGATTGGCCTTGACATATCTGCTGATGTTGAGGGCGTCAGAGTTGTTTGCGGAAAAGGATGGGAAAATCCACGAAGTGTACTGCCTGTGCAGGGGGGACGTAGCATTCTTCGAGGGCGATAAGCAGCTGGAAGGACAGGAGAGGTTGAGAGCAGATAAGATAGAAGTGCAGATGAGAGGCTCGAAGGGAGACCAAGGGAGGAAAGGAGCGGTGATCGTCAGGGAGAGGGGGAGGGCGCATGGAGCGGTGGAATTGATGTTGGAACTATTCGGGATTTATGGAAGTGAAGGATTAAGTGCAACGGAACCATTGATGGTAGAAAGAAAGAAAGGGAAGCGGGAGGTATGGCAGAGACGGAAGGCGACAGAACAAATGAGGAAGGGGTTAAGAGCGGTGTCAAAGTTGTGGTCGAAGCAAGGGAAAGGGGCAGGGGCGAAGCTAAAACCGGAAGAGTTTGCGTTACGTTCGGGAAGGATAGGTGGGGCGACGAGGCTGGCCGCGAAAGGCGTACCGGAGGCGGTGATGAAGAAAGAAGGGAGGTGGTCGTCGAACGCATTCATGGCATACGTGAGGGCGAACATGCAAGATCCAGCATGGGTGTCGGCGGTGTTGGAAGAAGGTGAAGGGGTATTTGAGAGACAACCGGGGCAAGGGACGGAATGGGGAAGAAATCGTGAAGAGGGATCCAGAAGTAACAAGAACAAGACTTCGTGATGGGGAGGTTTGTGTCCAAGCTGGGCGACCAGCGGAATGTGGTCCGCCTGGTCCTTATTACTCAAGGAAGCGTGTGGATTCCTTAGTAGGCTTAAGGGCCGGGAGGGAGGGGGAGAGTTCCACCTCCAAGACCCGGCCTTTGCGCGGCGACACAATAACAAAAATGGCATTTTTCGGGGAGAGACAAAACTTGTCATGCAGCTCCTGCATGCGGAACACACCGTCGACGCGGCACTTCGCTTGCAGTGCGACCATAGCACTGTGCCCGTCACCGGATTCACCGATCCCGATCGGGGCATATGTTTGAACCACCTGGGATGCCACGCTGGCGTACCCGTCGGCGCAATCCGATGTCGCTAACAGCAGACGAGTGTAGAGTTTTCCGTTCTTTTCTTTGTACTCATCGGCACTGTACCGGGCACCTGGCTCTATTCAACCGGCACTAAAAGGGTCCCTCGACTGTATATGTATTTTTCTAAATTAAACCAGCAACTACTGTCAACATGACATATTGCGCCGTGTTCCCTGTGCAGGCCACATGTAAATGTACCTACGCAGATGTTTTTGTGCTAAGCACCAACTGGTATCACTGATATAAATCATCAGTGTATAGGCTTAAACAAACTCGAAATAAGTCAAGTACCCAGCTGGTTTTCCTCTACTCACTGTGAAGACTTCAACACATCCCCTTCGAGTGTAGTTAGACTATACCTCGAACGGGTAGTCTTTCTGTGTGTATATTTGTTTCTCCTAATAAAGGCTTATCCAAGTAGTCTATAGGCTAGGGTATGTAGACTAGACTAGTCTACTCAGCGCTATTTTTTCGATCACAATTCTTTAGACAAGACTTGATACATACAAACTCGAAATATGTCAAGTACCCAGCTGGTTTTCCTCTACTCACTGTGAAGACTTCAACACATCCCCTTCGAGTGTAGTTAGACTATACCTCGAACGGGTAGTCTTTCTGTGTGTATATTTGTTTCTCCTAATACATCGATCATCGTTAACCCTCATAGTAGTACTGGAAGCCTCTTTGGGGAGGATTTGGGGACACTCTTGGACACAGCACTCGATTGCCTGTTTACCGCACTGTAGGCAACCTCCGCTGTATGCAACGTACGTGAGAACCCTTGGTCTGTCATGCTTGGCTGAGATGGTACGCAGAGTGATGTGCTGTGTGAGGCCTCTCCTGGGCCTCTGACTTGCTGTATACACACACATGTCCCAACCCGCATGCCCCCCAGTTCGCAAAACTGCTGTACATCGCCTGATACTGGAAAAAATTGCTGACTTGGCTTCAGTATGAAAGTGTCCCCACGTGTTTTGGAGACACTTTTCATTCTTCTGAAGCCAAGTCATCCTTTGTCTGGCAAGGAGCTCAGATTCTTCGGAGGGACTGTAGCACCTCGACCAATGGCTGACAAACATTTTTTCGGCATTTTTTTTTGCGGAGGGATTGGGTACTAGGAGGGTTGAGGGGGTTGTTGTTGTTGTTGTTGTTTGTTCATATTAGCTCAATAGTCCGCAAAAAATGGGGAGCCCGTGGTCTCAAAACCCGGCACGACGACGCCGCGGGGAAACAACCAAAAATAGGGTACTACAAACCATTCGGAAAAAGGAAAAATGATAGAAAGAGATTAACGGGTACCGCACCGACCGTTCGAGAAAAGAGCCCTCGGAAACCGATCAAAGCAAAAATAAAGGAGGACGCTTCCCACACCCGCCTAAAGAAAAAATCAAAGGGTAACGTACCAGCACCAGGCACTATGCACCAGGGCATGGGAGTAACGGAGCAAACAGGACAAAGAGGCGGGGGTGTAGAAGACGAATTTTTGATTGACTAATTTTGGAAATTCAAATGCAAGAGCACCAGAAATTGCACCACAGCCACACCAGACCAGTGGGAAGGTTGCGCGAAAAACAGAAATCTTTGACTAAGGAAAAATGAATGCACACACAGACAGCAAGAAATCGCTGATTCTCGCACAGGGCGGCAGTAGAGGCTGCTCAAAACATACATTTATTTCACGCGTCTACCTCCACACGTCTCGTTTAAAATCAAGATAAAACTTCACATCATTCTAAATTCTACTCATAAGAGCCAAAACGGAAGGCGCTCAAACAAGGCCAATTTTGAGTGTTACGTGTCGCATGCTATTATCATTGTCATCAGTAGAAGACATCACGAAGATGCGTCGTGCGTGCTGGCACGTTCAGGGTTGCTACTGGATGGAGCTGGAATATCGAAGGTCGCAGCAGCCTCTGAAAACGGAAATCTGCGCCGGAACCAAGCGGCATCCAACATTATGCTATGGTATTTGGACCCTTGGACTAAGATACCATCTGGGCGGGTATGTCTTTCAGGAATATCCCGACCACCTGCCCAGATTCCTAGTAGTCCGACCTTAGGCAGGTAGCATTACAATGGTTACTAGCAGTAGCAAGCGATGTGCAAGCGTTCCACCTTGCTCAGTGTCTTGCCTGGTGTTCCCTGGTGTTGCCTGGGAGTGAGCGATAGCGAGCGACTGGGAAAGGAAGGAAGGATAAGGAAGGAAACAGACTGAAGAAGCGAAGCGGCTCCAACCTGCACACAGTGTGCTCGGACTAGCTCCACACTGAAACAACGCGTCAGAGATCGTCACATCTCGTCACACTTGGCGTCGTCGGCAGGACACGAACCAGCGCCCTGAAATCACAAAGGGTTCAAGCCTACATACGCCGCCGCCACCCGCGGTGGGCTCGAAGGCTCCACAGCATGGTACCACTCCACACCACTGGCCGTGATCGCCCGCACGTGTCAGCACGCTTTCAGCAACCCACACCGAGACAGAGTGCAAACAGCCGCTCGTGACCTCCTCGACACTTTACCGAACCACATGGGGGAGATCGCAGACTGCTCCCACGTATGGTCCTTTGTCAATCACAACAAGGACAGCGGCATCTCCACCACCGCCACCGTAGCCGTCGCCAACTCCCTCGCCAACTTTGTCGACACTGCAGCTGCCGCCTACCGCAACCGCTCCAACACGACAATTGACTACTCTGAGAAGCCGGCCCCACAGCAGTTTCGCGGACAGTATCCGACCCGAAAGAGCAACAAAGGCCGCCACTCCTCCAGGTCCGGTGGCAACCGTACACCGCACGGTAAGCAGGGGTCAAAAACCAAACACCGCGGACGTAACTGGGCATCGGATAGCTCCGACTACAGCGGAGGCCGTGGCTCCACATGGAACAACGGGTCAGACCACCGCCCCTCACCGCGTTCCCACGGCAACCGTCAACGCTCGCAAGGGCACGAAGAACAAAAAGTTGGCAGCAAGGAACCATCATCACGACGCCAAACACACCCTCACGAGGACCATCACGACAAGCCACACCTTCAAAAGCGAGAACCCTCCCCTTCCAGGGCACTCGTTCTTCTCGAGAGCCAGGGCCACCTGGACGACAAAGACATGTTCGACTTCGGCACCCCCGACTCTACCGACAACGACAATAACGGGCAAGTAATCCCTCCACTGGCTGCTGTAGCACAATCCAATAGCGCTCTGTTGCACCACAACGGCTTGCCCATCCCCTCCTCGATAGCAGTACAACGCCAAAATGCCATCGACGAACGAGCCGCCAAGGTAGAGCAAGCGCGAATTCGATCCATCGCCGCTAAGTACGCCACTATCGACCTCAAACACGTCGAAAAGATTAGGCCGCAGCTTCCTTTAGCTACAAGCCGTGCTGGTACCAACGCTTTAGGCCAACTCTTGGAGTCCACCAAAGGAGCAATGCACGACATACTGCTGCAAGCTGACCCACTCGTCAACTTCGACAATTCCGACACTTGGGTACCGGGCTGGCAACGCCCCATCCAGAGGTCACTCACCAACGTCATTTCGTCAACTTCCCCCCAATCCGCTGATCTCTACTCGGTCATAAACGGATTCTTTGCACAGGTAGATACGCAGCTCAAGCAAGGCATGAGCGGAGGCGAAGCCTTCAAGCTCCTAAATACTACGGCTCATAGCAGGGCAATTTGGCGAACAAGACCGCGGCGCCACATTCTCGCAGCTGCATGACTACAAAGTGCCCAACGGCACGACGTTTGCCAAGTTCTTGCAGCAGTACCGAGTAACTGTATCTAACGTCACCGACTTCTCCAGTTTGTTGGCACCAGATGCACGCTGGGTAATTGAAGTTACACGGAATCAACGATCAATTTCCGAGTATGATGACTAGCTGCTTTCCGGGTAGCTTAGCAAATGCTGTTTCGCCATATGCGACACTGGATGATATGTGGGTGGCATTCGACAATTTTCCGTCAAACAAGACTGCCGCTGTAAACGGTCAAGGCCATGGTGCTGTGTCTGCTGCTTTTGGGAATCTTTCCCTTTCTACTCCATCGCAAGGGCACCGGTCGAGCAACCGCTCCTCCTCGTCACAACAATCGTATGCCTCAGGCTCATCACGCAACCCCATCGCCATGAATGTTCGATCCAACTCGCACTCGGATGTTTTTTGTTATTAACACTACAAAGCGTGGCCTTTAGCTAGCGATGACCACTGGTACACGGTCTTCCAGGTTTCTGAAAGTTTCAAATCCAGAAAACTGCCATCACTTTGGACGCCACTAGTATCACGACACGAACGCGAACAAGCCTTCCGCGACAATCAAGGGCTTTGCCTTAACTGCCATTCAACGGCACACTCCATGCGCAATTGTGATCAGCCTTTCACTAACAGTTCTGGCATTCTCAACGAAGACCTACGCCACCTCAACGACAATGACGACACATTCCAAACCTGGCTTCAGCGGTTGCGATGCCACAGGCCGAACCGTGGTCCCAACAGACAGTCCAACCGCCAAAACTCGAACCGTCGCACCAACAACCGACGCCACAACAATCGCGGCTACAACAGCTACAACAACTACGGCAATGGAAACCGCGACCACTCCAACGGTATCAACAACACAATTGTCCATTATGGCCAACAACAAGGCTCTCTCGCCGTTTGTCAACCGGCCCAATCTGCTGCCTCGGCACAATCCGTCAATACCGTCAATTCGCAAGACGCACGCTTTCACGGTAATCAGTCTTCCAACCCAACCGGCATCAGAAACGGACGCGGATGACTCCGCAACGGAGGTACGCCCTCCGTCCCCGTGCCGCCGACAGCACCACGGGGAAAACTGCACACTTCTGCCTCCGGCACACATGCACTTCGCGCAACACACGACATTTCAACTTCGGACACGTCAACAAGCTCACTCATGCCTACAACCGATACCACAATCGGCTCTCGCCATCCTCGCACTGCTAGCAATACGCAACCTTGTACTGCCACCACTAAACAGGGAGAACTGGAGCCGTCTGCCACAGGCACACCTGCACTTCGCGCAGCACACGCCAATCACGCCTCTGCTCCGTCAATACCCTCACCGTCACCGACAACCGGTATCTCCACCGGCTCTCGCAACAGCGGCACTTCGAGGTCAGCCCCGCCTCGCACTACCGCCACGTATGCTTACAGTTCTCTCCCGCCTGCTCGGTCGATCGCCACTCCAAGGGTTAGCCCCCCTCGGGAGACGATGGCTTTGAGGCGTGGGTACACTGCACGATCGCCAAGACCTCATTCGGCATCATCATGCGTCACCGGCAATGCTCCACATACCAGTGATGTCCAGGGCCCCCAGCAAGTGGCTACTGCTGTGGGCTCCAAGACATCTACCGGCAGTGCAACACTTTCGACCATTCTCGAACCGGTGCATGGACCAAGCTCTTCACAAGATGTACGGCGACCTCCAAAAAATTACGTCGCCGCTACCGCTAGTTCTACTGTATTAACCCAGAGTTCTACGTACCCGCGAAGGTGCTGACCCCACACTCTCCGAAGGACGCTTTGGACAGAACCCCGCTAAAATAATGGGAAGCTCGCGCCCCCCGTCAGGGGTGACTAGACCAGAGCCACCTGCTTCTACTCTACACAATCGACTACTACCAGGAACGTCTACTCCAAGCGATGACGACACTCGGAGCCAGCGGACCTCCGACTGTCGGCCACTTGATTCAGCGCCTGTAACAGCGCCATCAACTGAGCCACGACAATGTAAGCACTCTCCTCAGAGCTCTCGATCACCGACAGCCTCACGAGACTGCCTTTGATGCCACACGAGAGTACGTCAATAATATCGTCATTCTTTTCTGGCAACCGCCCTCCATTTTTTCGCAATGGACACCTTCGACATTTTCGGTCGATGGAGTGGAATACTCCTGTGCCGAACAATTCTTCGCAGCATCCAAGGCACGACACTTCGGTGACAAAGATATGCTTCACAACATCATGCTTTCTTCAGACCCAGCAATGCACAAGCTCTACGGACGACAAGTGCGTGGCTTCACGCAACAGGCATGGGAAAAGGTGAAAGCATACATCGTGCTTGTGGGCACTTTGGAGAAATTCTCCCACAATCCTGCCATGCGTCAATATCTTCTCAAGACAGGCAACAGCATTTTAGCCGAAGCCAGCCCTTTCGACAATACAAGGGGCATCGGCATGAGAGCCGATCACCCCGAGGCCGCCAACCCCTCCAACTGGACAGGCAAAAATTTACTTGGTAAGGCACTTCAATCGGTTAGAGACTTGCTTCGCTCCTCTGCATCACTCCCGATGCCGCCACTGGAACAACCCACCGACTCAGCACTCGACAATAACGGCATTCACGAGATCAACACCGACACTCAGCAACCCATCCATCCACCTTTAGAGTCACGTCCACAGCCAACCGACATCAACGCTCTTTGGCCCTCTGACGCGCCTTCCGACTACGACGACGACATTCTCCACATTGCGGACGCCAATTTCCACGTCGACAATCACCCCAAACTACTTGCGGAACACGGACCATGTCTCGTCGACGGTATTGTAAACGTTGACGACGCTTCACAATCCACCAAAGTGCGCACACACTCAGGTTCCGCAACCTCAGGTTACCGCTGCGGCGCTCTCCTGGACTCCGTCTCTCCAGCCACCTTCGTCAAGAGCAATGCTCTCGGCACCATGCGAGCCACAGGATGTGCGACACAAGACTGCGTCGCCACCAACAACACTCGCTCTTGGGGAGGATTCGGCAGCTTTCAACCGCTCGTCACTAATCAGGTGGTACCTCTCAGTGTTCAATTTTATCAAAAGGACCAACCCACTGCTTCACTCGCCGTCTGGGCTCATGTAGTTCCAGCCAACACCATGCAACAGCCACTTTCACTAGGACGCGACAGCTTCATGCGCTACACCACCCGCACCTACACCGTGCTACCTACGCGTTCTCCAACCCAACGCGTGCTGGGAGAATATGCTTTCTCTCACCACCAAGCCTGCGGCGCCTCAGCCTACATTCGAGATCCCTCTGCAGCTCCAGGAAGATTCCACCTCAAATACGCTGGAAAATCTGGAATATCTCTCTCGTCAAATCACCAATTGATCGAGGTCAACCTCGTCCGTGCCAATGGGTACCCTGCTCTCAAAGGACACTACCTGGTAGACACTGTTCCAGATTTGTCCCCTTCAGACGAACTCTTCGTCTCTCACGGCCGCCAGTTTCTACCACTCGTAGGATGCGCAGAGCTTGAACCGGGCGACATTTTAGGTACAGCAGCCGCCCCTTTCATGCGCGTATCTGTCGACACTATTCAACAATTCAGTGACAAGCAACCGTCAAAGCACTTCGAAGTGCCAGGGCCATCACACTCTGCCGATGCAGCACACTGCAATGATCCCTTCATCGGCAATGTATCTACCGACAATAACGGGGGACCTGCACAGCACTCCTCCCCCCCTTCCGGCAATTCGTCCCCACCGACACTTCCTCCACAGGAGCTTCTGGACCGCTTAGATGCCGCTCAACAGAAAAGCTTCTTATCTCTTTGGGACCTCCTACCACCGCACATGCGAGCCATCACGTTCAATCTACACGGCGAAGGCTGGACGCCTGCTGTCATAGATGAGCTCGCTGATGTCTTACACAACTTCCGAGACATCTTCTCCACTTCACCCACGGACTGAGCTGCTGCCCATTGCTACCATTCAAAATCGACATTCCGGACGGCACCCCACCGGTGCGAACCAAGCCATACCGCATGAACCCTCTGTTCGCCAAACAAGTGGACGCCATTTTGGACAAATACCTCGCGGCAGGTTTAATCCAACACTCCACTTCTCCGTACTGCAGCCCCATCGTCTTCATTCCAAAAAAATCTGGAGGGCTTCGCATCACCGTCAACTACCAGAAACTCAACCGCATCAGCAGCTTCAGTCAACTACCTGTTCCTCGTGTCGATGAGATCATGAACAAACTGCACCAGGGCTCCATCTTCTCGCTCTTCGACTTCACGGGCTCCTTCCACCAAGTTCCCGTGCACCCCGACACAATTCCGCTCACTGCATTCGCCACACCGACTCGCCTTTTCTAGTGGCTCAAAATGCCAATGGGTGCCAGCCAATCTTCAGGCTGGTGGATGAAGGTCATCAATGAGGTAATAAAAAACCTCGAAGGCGTCGACGCATATCTCAACGATGTGGTGCTCTACGACAAGACACCGGCGGATCATATCCTCACCATGCGCGCCCTCCTACAACGGCTGCGCAAGCACAAGCTCAAGCTTTCACCGCCTAAGGCCACCATTGGCACGACAAACTCTGCATTCTTGGGACACACCATTACTCCCGACAGTATCAGGCCCAACGCCAACAAAGTAGCCGCGCTCGCGGCTATGCCAATGCCAACCGACCTCAAGAAACTTCACTCTCTTCTCGGTGGTCTGAGCTACTACCGCAGCTTCGTCAAAAACTTGTCTAAACGAGTACGCCCCGTCACGACACTCAAGAAAAACTCGTTCTTCACCTTTACCTCCGACATGGAAGCCATCGTCCGAGAGATCCTCAAAGAACTCTTCGAGCCGCCAATTCTCGTCTTCCCCGACTGGAAAGCCATCGAAGACGGCACCAGACCTCTCCGCCTCCACTGCGACGCCAGCCTCGATGATCTGGGAGCGACACTAAAACAAGAACAGGCGGATGGCTCTGTTCGCCCCATCGTCTTCATCAGCAGATCGACACTTGACGCTGAGCGTAACTGGACACCACTCGACTTGGAAGCTGGCGCCATCGTTTGGGCCATTAAACGCTTGCGTAGATACTTGCGCGGCACACACTTCCAAATTTGGACCGACAATCAAGCTCTGGAGAACATCTCCAAGGTGGGAGACCACAGCCCACGCGTGCAGCGTTGGCTTGAGTCCCTCACAGCGTATCAATACACGCTGAAACACCGCCCAGGCTCCTCCAACAGCAACGCCGACATGCTGTCTAGACTGCCCATACCCCCCAGTACACAGGACATCACAGGATATAGCCGCATCACCATGCCAGATGATGTGGGTGTCTACATGATTCGCGCCACCGGCAACATTCCTTCTGGTCCTTCTCCACAGGGTATTACTTTGGGTGGGCTAGTACCCAACAATGGCAGCGACACTTTGAGTGGCTCCCCACTGACGTCGGCGGATTTCCAGGATTTTTCGCCGGCGCGGGCTCTGAATGAGCATTGACGACCTCGACGCTCCTCCCGGAGTATTCGCCGCTCGTGCTTTTCCGTCAGTCTCCAACAACAATTCACGTCCCCACTCTCGCCACTCTCCTGCGTTGCGCGACATCAACACAGTTGACCAATCGGCTTCGCCCCGACACTTGGACCAACATAGCAATTACCCTACCACCGCACGTCCTCCGTCCTCATGATCTTCGACACCATCCCGGCACACTACAGTCTGCCGCTCAATCTCCGGCATAACCTGCCAGTTCGACAATGCCCCCTGCAATTGCAGCTCGCTCCAGGTCAGACATCGAGGAAGCACCTGCACTTCAGCGGCCTCTCTCTCCTTCTCGGTTGCGCCCGCGTTCTTTGGATCCATCAAATTTGATATCCACCCGCACGCGACGCCGCGCAGCTGCAACATCTGGGAACCCTCTGCGTCAAGTAACTTACCGCTTGAGCCCATACATTTCCGCCACTGCGGCACCAGCACCAGCTGCACCTCCACGCAGGCCGCGCACCGCAACTCCTGCGCCACCTGCGCAGACCGCAGCGGAACCTGTTCCCACGGCACCAACCGCCAATATCACTGCTCCCTCAGAACCTCCCGCAGAACCTCTGCCGGAATCTGCTGACACACCATCCACACGGACCCCCTCTACTTCAGCTTCTTCGTCACTTCCAGCGCCACTGCCTTCTCCGGCTGAATTGTCCTTCATGGACTCTGTAGCGCGCTTCACACACGCCGACTGGTATGAGGAACAACAAAAGGACGTCACTTGCAACGCCGCCATTCGCTACATACAACTTCGGCAACCTTCAACATTGCCTACAGGTTTCCACGGCGACACCCCAGAACACTTGCGTCCCTCCCTCACCGACATCAAGGAATTGGCCACCAAAGGTCGCATCATCACCTGTGACGACGGCGATCCGCTCCTGGTTCGACAATTTACCAAAACGCCAAACTCCAACAACGATCGTCCTAGCGGAGCTGCTCGCCTTCTCGACAGTGAACCCACGCGCATTGATGTGCAAATACACATGCGTCCTTGGTAATGCTTCAATGCCACTCCAACACCCTGTGCCAACTTCGCACCGCCAAAGCCATCAACCTCCTGGAACAACTCTACTGGTGGGTTGGCATGAGCGCTTGCGCCCGCTTCTGGAGTCGACAATGCTACACGTGCCAAGGCCGCAAATCAGCACGACAAGCTATACGTTGGCCCATCCTCACCATTCCCCTGCCCTCAGGGCCAGGTGTTGCAATCAGCATGGACTACTTGGACCGCTCCCTACTACTCCACGCGGCAATGCCTACATCTTACTCTTCACCGACCGCTTTAGCCGGCGCGCCGACATGTACGCCGTCTCACCAGCGAACTATACCGTCGAAGAAACCGCCAATATTTTCGTCAATCAATACATTCCGCTCTGGGGATGTCCGGTAAGCCTCCTTTCCGACAATGGTCTCCACTTCACCTCGCTTCTGACGCCATCTTCAAACTACTCCGCGTACGCAAAATCACTACCAGCGCCTATCACCCTTGCGGCAACGGCGGCGTGGAACGCGTCAACCACACAATGGCTCCAATGCTAGCTGTGTCCGTCAATGAGAGACAAGATGACTGGGATCTACACCGCCCACATGTGGAATTTGCCAACAACAACAGGGCTGGCACCCAACCAAGTGCACATCGGCTGACTTGCTCGCTTCTCCATAACCGTTTTCGACAATATCTACGCCCGCGGACACGAAAGCCTGGCTAAGGATCAACTTGAATACCACAACCTCGCTGTGGACAGGCAACGTCGCTCTTACGACCTCGTTCGAGAACAACACGCGCTCAACGTCGACAAAATCGAGCGCAGGAACTCGTCACTATCGGATACACTTCACCGCCGACCCGTCTACAAGACAGGACATTGGGTCTGGGTCTACAATGGTCTGGGTCGACAATCAAGTGTCGACAATTCGCCAACGAGCATCCACCACCGCCTCTGCCTCTGCCCCGGATTTGCCGGTTCTCAAAGCCAAGCTCTCCTTGAACTGGACTGGGCCCTTCGAAATTCTTTCCGTAGGCCCCTGCGACAAAGCACCAGATGGACGCCCGATCGCCGACAAACTCCTCTCCTTGGACCTGCCCAACGACATGCCCGGCGCCGACGCCAAAAATCGAGTGTCGGTAGTACGCTGCAAGCCGTGCCACCACGCCCACGACAGTGATATACCCCGCTTCCTGCCTGCAGGCCTCACGAGATACGTCCTCAACAATTACACCAATAAATCCCCTCCATACCACGTTACCGAGGATGACGTCTCCACGCCCCTTCAACGCCTTGAAGTCGAAAACATCACCGGCCACCAAGCTGTCCGCGGACGCGGCGGCGTACTCGCCGCTCTCTACCAAACACACTGGAAAGGCCTGCTTCGACCCTCCTGGGAACGCGAAATCGATCTACAACACTCGTGTCACCACATCCTTCGCTACTGGTGTGGCACACCGGATCAGCACAGCTAGCAGAACCGTCTTTACCGCAACATACGCATAGGAGCCGCTGCTCGAGAATTTTCCCGCGCCCAAGGAGAACGTGCGCCTTCACCCGGCTACACCTACGTCCCACGCGACACTTACATTCGCCGCTTCAGTGCCATCGCCATACCCGTCGGAGCCTACTTCTGGTACAAAGCCAACGACGTGCTCTGGTGGTTGGGCAAAATATCGCGACACACCACGACTGCTGACCTCTACATCGTCCGCTTCCTCGACGACCCCGGGCCGATCAAGCTCTCCCTCGCCCCCAGCCGCTACAGCTCCGAACATCACGCCGTCTGCGGCTCCTGGTGTCTCCAAGTACATCGCAACAGCTCCTTCATGCGCGGCATCCGGAGGAACACCGACGAATCCGGAGGAGCCACAACAACCCCAACTTCGGCCACGACATCGCCCGCTTCAGCAACAACAGCGCCATCCTCAGCCACTTACCGGTGAAAATACCTTGTTTGGACACCGGAGACCGCCTGTACTTGTTTCATTGTTTGCATACATTCCCTCGCCATGTCAGCAGATCTTTCCCCCACGGTGCAATCTGCCTCTGGCTGGTTACGACCCTGGCATTGGTTTGTACCTCCTATATGTTTGAATATTCTGTGTACGTTTGCTTTTTTGTGTGTGTTACTTCTTACGCATCCGACGCTATAGCTTTGTTTCTCATTGGACACCGTAGCCACCCAATCACCTCGCTCTTACAGCCGTCTGCTGGCGTTAGAAGTTTTAGTCTACGCATTTGTATTTTGCGTTCGACCATGCTGCCTTTCCCCTGTAGCCGAATTGTTTTTCTTCCGCTACATTTTTGGGCTCCTGCGAGCACGACTTATTGTTGCTCCCCCGCAGCTTGTCTCTTGCGCTGTTGACCCCCGTAGCCTACGACACCTACTGTCGACGCCCCCGTTTTAGGTTTTCAAGAGTAATATTGCTCATTGACCTTGTCCACCCACATCTGTTTCCATTTTTATATTTCAGCGTCCACTTCGACAACCGACGCCCGTTTGTCGCCCCCATATTATTGGACCGCGCGGGGAGCACCGTACTCACTGGCTCTTGCTTTCTAGCCCGCTCCCGCTGCGCCGCTGTCTCTGCGCATTTTTGCTTCGTCTGCTTTTCGTATTCAGCTGGGCATTTTCTTGTGCTTTTCTTACGTATTCGGGACTATCCTGGCGTCACACCGTCGTTCTTCGTGACCCTCTTGCAATCAATAGACCCCCGGCTTTCCCTTCTCTCTTCATTTGCTTGCTTGTGTAGCCCTCCCGCTGCTTTTGTCTTTGGACGTTTTCCGCACTTCTTTGCTAAGCTTTCAAAGCCACTGTCAGCCTAACCGCTGCTTGCCGCAGTTTTCCCGCATTTCAATTCTGCCCTTTTACTAGCCGAGAGCGTAGCTCTCTTGAAATCCACTTAGAGGTGTGGGAGAGGTTTGTGAGGCTCCGTGTCCTCGAGTCTAGAGTCAATGCCTCAGATGGATTGTTAGTTCCCCCTCTTCAGGTTCTAGCCTCTGTGTATACGTCCCCTCAGGGTGGGCTAGTCTTATGGTATTTGGACCCTTGGACTAAGATACCATCTGGGCGGGTATATCTTTCAGAAAACATCCCGACCACCTGCCCAGATTCCTAGTATTCCGACCTTAGGCAGGTAGCAGTACAATGGTTACTAGCAGTAGCAAGCGATGTGCAAGCGTTCCACCTTGCTCAGTGGCTTGCCTGGCGTTCCCTGGTGTTGCCTGGGAGTGAGCGATAGCGAGCGACTGAGAAAGAAAGGAAGGACAAGGAAGGAAACAGACTGAAGAAGCGAAGCGGCTCCAACCTGCACACAGTGGTCGGACTAGCTCCACACTGAAACAAGGCGTCAGAGATCGTCACATCTCGTCCCAATTACACAGATAGATAGGGTATAGGGTGGTTGTGGTTCATATCAAGGCAACGCCAACGCCTTCCAGGTTGGGTTTCCGTCCATGTTTCCTAGCATGAAACTCCTTTTTTTTTCTCAATTTTCCTTCATTCATTTCGCAGGGAGATGTGGGGACAGGATTAGTTATTTCGGGGGCAAGCGCCCTTCTAGCGGCGCTGTGTAGCACTGCATAAAATCGCCAGGGTAGTTAGAATATAACTCAAGGCGGGTCCGCTCACGTACAGAATGCTATCCTCCAGCCCACACGCGCACTCGCTTTTCGGTACAGATTGGGTGAAAAAGTCCTCTCTCAACTGCCAAAAACAACGAATGGCCCTGGTGCCAGGTGTCAGTGCAGCCCGGCTTCTTTCTGTTTGTGTACGGATGAACAGTTCTTCTACGAATCCTCTCACCCTGCCACTGCTGTGGCAAACCTAAATAATCCATACAATCTCAAGTGATTAAGCAATTTCCAACTTTTAGTCTAGGAGTTAATCTAGGAGAAGAATGAATGCCTTGGGGAGTTCTACATGAGCATTTGAGGCAGGAGGGCGTTCCAGTCTACATGTCACGCCGTGTTCGCCGCCACTGACTCCAATCCACTGAACTGCGGATTTCCAGCAGTAGCTGATGCCACTAGCTACTACTGCTGACGACCCGTGGTTCAGGGGTTAACTGTCCGTGGCGGTGAGCACGGCTGTGACAAACGTTGGATGCCGCTCGGTCCCGGCGCAGATTTCGGACAGTTTTTAGAGGCTGCTGCAACCTTCGATATTTCAGCTCCAGCATCAAACCTGAACGTACCAGCACGCACGACGCCTCTTCATGGTGCCCTTCATTGATGACAATAGAATGCGACTTTTAACCCTGGCGGGAAGGTTGTTTTCTTTCTTTGTATAGGATCAAAGTATGGGGAAAAGAACCAGCGTCGCAACCCCTTTTCTGCACCCCCTCAAGTGCGCGCCTATGCCGGCTCTGCTTTCGCTCACGCCCGCGTCGCTTGACGTCGCGCGTAGGGTTGTTACGTGAGCGATGGTTCAAATTTTCGACACAAAACAACTTGAGCTGAGCCCTAACTGGATCTTATAAGAATCAATGTTGCAGTAAATATTTAGTTTCTGTTGGTTCCCCGGCGGAGGAAAAACGGAGCAAGCCTCTGAAAAATAGAAGATGTTGGTGGCGCGTTCTGTGCCGTTTACCGCTCAGGTTTTACCTGGATTTGTGGTTGCAAACTTATGGACAGCAATCAATCGTCTGTAACCCTTTGGTCCGTGTCGGCCGCGACGACATGTTGCCCAGGTAGTCTTGGTACACTTGCTTCGACTGTCGCATCCGCTATCCAGGCGATCCCTCACGCGAAACATTTGGTCAGAGGAACCATTTGCCCGATGACCAACAGCAACAACAACCATAGGAACAAGGGAGCCAGGCATGAAATGAATTGGGTGATCTCCGGTTGTGTTGTTTTCCCCGGGAATTCTTTCGAAAATTGGCTAGATGAAGTGCCGAAGGTTGTGTTCACCTTCCTACACAAATGTCGGAATCCATCTGCCTTGAGACGAAGCGTTTCAAACTGTTGAAAGCTAAGCAGGAGAGAAAACGCTTAACACAACCAACGTAGGTCTCTACTTGGACCGTGGCTGTAACCGCTGTATCATCCATTGTATCATAATTCGTGCACCCCCCAACAACATCATCAACAACAACAGCTATGCGCCCCACACCCGTGTAATCAACTATCCGCGACTGTCCCTTTTTCCTTTCCAGACGAGGCAACGGGGCTTTGTCTGTTATTATTCCTGTTGTTGAGTCTGGCCTTGCGCCAGCCCAGAGTCCCGAGGACAGTGTGCATGATACCACCGCCACCAACCTATTGAAAATTTCACGACGTGACGCGAACTGAGTGAGAAGCAAAAGAGGAGGGTGTGCGTGTGGGTCCATCCGTTTCTCAATCTCGGTGTTTGACAGGGAAGGTTGTTCGTCCATATCCGCATTTTGGGCAAGGTAGTGGGGTTGGAAGGGGCGAGGTCATGTATTTGATTGCGATGTTGCCGTGCGTGCGGCGCACTCTATTGCGAAAAGAGGAAGAGGTCGGGCATGCCAGGATGAGAGTCGAATCAACCGAACGCAGTGGGGACTCCTTTGGTAGTGTACTGGTATATTGCAGCCGGTGACAAAAGCAAAAGAGCAGAGCGTCTGGAACAGAGAATCCACCTCAAGTGGAAGGAAACGATGGCCGCAAGAGGACGAAGAAAGTGGGAAAACGGATGGAGCAGGATTGGATGCGAGTCTCTGGACCTCTACCGGGGAGAGGAGGACTTGGAAACGTGGCACCTAAGTATCGCTTGCGTTTCAACAGATACAAAACAAATGTAAAGGAATCAGCACCTTTTTGGTCCCGTCCACTCTTTCCCCGTCATTGCGAATTCCCTCTGCCTGTAGGTGCTTTTGTTGCCCTCGTTCAATCCCAGAGTCGCCACGGCGGCCGACACCGCCACTACCTACACCGAAGGGAGGGAAAAAGACCGAAGGGAAGGAAAAAGACCGAGAGGATGGAAAAAGACCGAGAGGAGGGCTGCTCAAGGGGCCGTGTCAAGGGGAAATAAGAGAGAAAGAGGAGGCTGTTACGGGGGGGGTTGTCGGAGATTGTCAGGGCGCCGGGGCCATCGGGTTTCGCGACCGAACGTTCTCGCAACGCAGGGCTCCCAAGCTAAGCGAGGCGCACTTTTGCAGCAATGGGCCAATCATCGCTACCCTTTTGTGAGGTGGGACAGACGTACAATTGATGCACGGCGGCGGGTTAAATTTTCCTCTGCTCCTTCGGACCCTTCTATACCCTACGGTCGCTCTGCTGATGTGTCCGCCGCCTGACTTATGCATGTGGCGTTCGTTTTAAAAAAATCGACATTTCATTGGGAATTTGTTCAGACCCGTGATCTGACGACGCTTCAAAGGGAAAAAACAAAGGTGTTTGCTGCACGATTGCTACATGCGGAAGTTGGTGCCGCATTTGTTGTGGGCGGCATTCATATTCAGGGCTTTCGCCGCGAACGAAATCGATCCTGAAACATGTCACCGCATAGCAAATATGTGCCGGTGTCGTGTGTATCGGTCTGCTTTCACCTTTCCCACGCCTATCGGGGTCTCCTCCTCGGCCGCCGGTGCTAGTCATCTCTCGCACTCTGCTTCTGCTATTTGCTCGACTTCTCCCGGCACCGCTCCCGTGTTGGGAGTTTTCTGAGAAATCGTCGGTGCCGTCGTGGCCACCGTCATCGCTAAACGTGCCGCTATTGTCGCGGCGACCGCTGCTGCAACTGTTGCAATTGCTGTTGCTGCCGCTGCTACTGCTCCTTGTTGCCTCAGGGTGTTCCTGCGCAACAGCAGCGCGCAAGGTGGTCTTCAGGCTGCAGTTTTCATCCTGGGTTCGCTCATCAGTCGTGACGTCGCCGCTATCCGCGAACTTGCTCTTCTCTTCGCTCCCCTGCCGCCTATCTTCCACCGCGTCTCGGAAATCGCGTGCCACCTCCGGCGTCAACACCAACCCCTTCCCGTCGCCGTCTCCCTTCAGGGACTCCGCGTACGCGATGCACTCCCCTATCTCCCGCTGCTTCTGAAGGCGAAACCCCTGCAGTCGGGAACACACACCACAAAATATATCTCGAACGGGTAGTCTTTCTGTGAGGTTATGTTTACTCTCTAAAAAACGAAGAGCCGGGCCGAGAAGACCGGTTCACGGTCCAATCTTCGTATCCCGCGACGCATTTTCCACGTTGAAGACCCACTCGGGTCCCGAGGAAGCACGGAAGCGTTGTGCTATACGTGAGTGGCGGCTTCCCCCCTACCAACCTCAGGTCACACATTATCCCCCAAGTTGACAGCCACGCCGTACAGTGCATACCACTACCCGCGAACCTGAGTGATGAGAAAGTCACGGCTAGAAACAGAGACAACTTAATATGCTTGAGAATAAGAACAGCTGCTCAGCTAAGAGTCCTATGTAGCCTAACACCTACCAGGTATATTTTTTGGTGTTGGTTCACCCCACAGAAGGAATAAGCAACGAGTCTCGTGCAAAAGTACGAGGTTTTTAAGTGGTGACGCATACTGTACACCTCTTCTCCCTCGCCGTATCACGCTCACTATATATCCAAATCATAGCCCGTGCCTGATTCGTGTTTATTCATCCCCAACCTCGTAGCCGTCAGAATCGTCCCAAGATTTCCCCCTCACACAGTTTTCCCTTCAACTATCCAAAAAATGATCGCCCTCTCCTCGTACTTCGAATTGAAGTAGCTTACGCCCCACCCACATTTGGCCGGATTTTGAAGAATGGCTTTTCCCCAGAGTATTTGTTTTTGAACGAGGTGTGACGTCATGGTTGGGGGCCCCATCACCTGAAAGGCGTCCTCGAGTTGCCTTTCCTGGGCCTTGAGGATTGACTTTCGCTTCTCCAAGCGAATGCCCTCTTCCTCCACACACCGGTGATACTCTTGGTCCCAGGACCATAAAAGTGAACGAATAATATCAACGCGCACAACGAGTAACCAACCGTATGGGCTTGGTTCAAAGCCGAGCAGCAGAAGGTACAGTCGGCGGGGAAGTAGCAGTTTTCACGGCTATCATAACGCATTCATACAGACTGCAGTCGCTGGAGGTACAGCCTACACTGTTCAACCCGTTCAAGACAACGATATTTGACAAGAAACCCGATCATGGAGAGCCAGAGATACAGAGGTGTAGGGAAGGCAGGGGGTGGCAAACAAGCGGCAGAACGTGAGAAAAGAGGGAGGGCGGGCGGATGTGAAAGTCTTACCCTCGTTGGCCGTTTCTCGCAAAGAGGCCAAAGCCTTCGCCTCCGTGGCGCGGTGGAGCTGCCGCTTGAGTGCCGCCCTGTCTACTGGCCGATGGTCCAACCTTCGAATGTTTTTGCACGCCATCAGCACTGTGATGCGATACTGGGATTCGGACGCCACCTGCATTGCGCGGAGCGTATCGCCGTAGTAACCGTTTCTGTTTCTTGCAGTTGTGCAGTGATACAATCAGCTACGGCTGCCTAGTCGCTACACCCGTCTCGCATAGCAAAAGGCACGGCGCGAACGTTTGGGGTTACAAGCCTTTGCTGCTGTTGTTGCTGCGGCCGCTGCCGTGGTTTTTGTGGCTGTTGATGATGCATGATGGCATCACTGGTTTTGTATTGTTTCCAATTCGAGAGCCGTTTTACATCCTACCATTGGGTCGGGCCGACCAAATCATCGAGTCACTGCATTCTCTCCGTTCGCCCAGACTGCAAGCGGCGTCGCTCATGTGCGGCCTACCGTATTTCCCTCAGCGATAACTTCCGCTAGGCGAGGGGGGTTGGCCAAGGCTCTAGCGAAGGTAGGAAGGGCCGAGAGCCGGTTCTTGGAGCAGTCGAGAAAACGCAGCGTCTCTACCAACCCCACCCAGTCTATGGAAACGAGCTCGTTGTCTGCGGCAATACAAGGGCAAAGGGCACGAGGTGAAACGTTTGACCGGGGAGCCAAACATTGAGCAATGAACATGAGCAAATGAGTCTGTGACCATTGATCTGCAGACAAAGAGAATTGTTCCGAAGCCAATGGTAGGCAAGACTTGTAATATCCGCCTCAAGAAGAGAAGGAGCCCTGACAACCAAACCCGTGCGTCGCCCCCAGTGCCTTTCGGTCTACCCTTTACTCACAGGCTTGGAAGAAAATATGACTGAACCCGCTGCGCCGAGAGACAGATGCCCACCAAAATATCGGTAGAAGGCGGGTCAAGACGCTAAGGAATCAGCCGGACACCGATTGGCCCAGCCAGCAAGGGCCATTTCTGCCAAAAGGGGGGAATTGCCAACAAGCTACTCAACAACATGAGCCAGTGCGAACGCTCCACACCCAACAGTCAAAAGCACATATACTGCTACCAAAAATTTCCACAGCAGTCACAGTTAGTTACGGTTTATGGGCTGTCGGCATGTTTTCATCGAGTGGTTGTGTAATGACTACTGATGAACTTGTTGAGAGAGGATTGATTAAGAAAAAACCACCGAACGAGACGTGCTCGAGTTGAGTTCGGATCCTCGTTCACCACCGTGTCTACCCGCAGCACTGTTCAGGCCGGACTATTTCGGGGTTCATCTCTCTACGGTACTCCCTGTCGCAGAAACAGATTAGGGCTCCGCTCCACAGACGCCCTGGAGGTGGTGGCTATCGAGGTCGGAGGGCCGAAAGCGTCCCGTGGTCTCAGGATTCTGCCAAGCACAACAACCATTTCGCTGCTGCAAGCGGGAAAGGTGACTAATATAGCCGAACGTGCTAGGCTATCGTGACTGACGCAATATCCACAAGGTAAAGTTCAAGCTAGCCGAAAGTGCAAGGCTAACGTGACTAACGTGCTATATCCACAGGCGCACCGGAAACGTCAAGCCGTTCGAGCGACGTCAGCTCAAGGGCGGCGTCCTCCTCGAAGCTCATCAGGTGGTTGCTGGCAAGCTTGAGGCTCTTCATACGTTGGAAGGCATATCCAGAGCGGGGGGCTTCTATCGAGCGTATTGAGTTGTTCGAGAGGTCCACGTGGCGGAGACCGGCGCCCTTCTTGGGCCGCTTCCCTAGTGCCTGTACAGAACCAATTTGGTTGTTTGAGGCCAGAAAGACCTGTATATTGGAAGGAATATCCGTGAAGACCGAATCTCTGGCTGAGAGTCGTTCGAGCATTCGCTGAATACACATGAACACGAAGTGAGAGGTCGATTCGGGGATCGTGAGCGGCAGGAAGGTCCTGATGCTGCCGAGGTTTTCTATATTCAGACGAGGCCAGCAGCTGGCAACGAAGCGATATGTTGTGACGCCATCGCTTAGTCGGTCCGGACTGTATCAAACGCCCCCGCTGGTGCCTGGTCCGTTGTATGTGGAAGTCCCTAATACTCGATGCCACCAAAACAACTGGTTGCTCCGTATACGTTTCCTGGTGGGTAGCAGCACCCCCTCGAACCACCCTCCACACTCAATCGAAAGTGTCCTACGTGCGTATAAAAATGCGCACTCGTACCCAGAAAAACAGCCAACCTGTATATTGCGAAGGTTTTGGACAGCGTCCAGGTCTCTGATTAGGTTGTACGAGACGTCGAGGTACACCTGCAAGGGAAACAACAACGAATGCAATTGAGGGGGGAGTTGCTGTTCGGCGGCTTGATTGCATCTTCAGGGTGTATCTAAGCCTACATTTTCACAGCGTTTCTAAGACTTCAACGGGAATCGACATCCTCACTTGGCCCACTAACACCCTGGCAATCTTGACCCTGAATGTTGTAGACGTTCGAGAATGCTTGCTTGTCACAACACACGTCAGAAGCATTTTTTGCGCTGAGACTGCACAGCGTGCGCAATGGAAAAATTTAGCCGAAATCTCACTGATGCCTTCACACTCTTGTTTCACGTTTCCGTTTTGCATCGGTACAGCTTGGTACAGTCTTCACGTTTGCTTGCAAGCCCCGGGATCTCTGTAAAACAGTCGGGGTAAAACATGCCTGAAGGAGGTCAAGTCTCGCCATAACTTCGCTCCATCAGCATGTCTCCACACACCCAAACACAAGCGCTGCTATTTGTACCAGATTTACCCTTCCCGGAAGAAAGGTGGTTAACAACGGATTCGAGTTGAAATATATGATTACCAAGTCGCGTAGGCTAGCCTCATCCGCTAAAGCATCAATCCCCCTGAGCCTGTTGAGAGACGCGTCCAAGTAAAGGCATCGCCACGATACGTCCTCGTTCTCATCCCCATCCTCATCCTCGTTCTCATCCTCCTGGAACGACCATGATGCGGTGGATGGTTAGAAACTTTTCGGGATGTTTTCCGGTGGGTTGTAATCCCTGAAAGGAAATGGTCTGACCACAGCGTGCGCGAAGTTTCGATTCCGTCCGTGGTGTATTGTATCGCACCATGTACACGAACGCGTGGATGCGTCCGCACGTTGTATAGAGGAAGGGCGCCGAAAATCCGAAACGAAGTCCCAAGAAAGAAACATAGCGAAAACACGGATCCGACGCGGTGGCTCACTTTGTCGCTACCTTTGCCAGGCGGGGCCCAGGGCGAACCGCCTAGTTCGGCTGGAAGTCCGGCGAGCGACTCGAGGTCACACCAGTGCAAGTCAACGCCCCAAAAGCTTCCAGATGAAGCCTTTCCATTAACGGTTTCGTTTAGAAGGGCATGCGAACGTCGCGCACATACGCACAGTGCATGTGCACGCAATGTCATCCACAGCGTACATGGTGCATGGTTCGATTTGGTGTCGATACCATGTTGACGATCGTTTCTTAACACGCCGAAAAAAAAGTGTCCCCCCCCCCCTCCCCCCCACATGAGCGGGTGTAACCTCGCCCACGAAGACTTGCTCGCTTTGGCTACGGTCTTGTTCCTAGATGCCCCAAAGGCAGAGAAAGTTGACGGGTGACTGAGTTGTTTTCTGTAGTACGCAAACTCACACTCACAACTGCGGGCGATATATCGCGACCTTCACCACGAAGAAGTTGCATATTGTGATACAAACTCATCCAGACCTACCCATACACATTTCCGATTATTCTTCGCAGCTTATGGTTGAACTCAAGGACTTTTCATTCGCTCCCCCCAAGTATTACCGTCGCTCCAGCGTCCAACTATCTTACGCCCTTTTTTCTCTAAGGGGAGAGCTTCGATCCGGGGTCACACAGAGCAATTCCCCTGCATTGAAATTTTGACGCCAGAAGGGTTCAGGGATTCACCAGCTTGCTCACGAATAAGAGTTATTCCGCAACTACTGCTGTGTAGTCTACATACCAGCTGCTACAACGGAAACGAGAGACCCCAGCTCGCCGAGAGTCGACCTGCCGACCCTGCTGTAGCGACCACTGATACATGGCCTTCGAGGATACCACGTTAATACCTGGTGATATGTGTCGATATCTTCCCCATGGAGCACCGGCTCCACCCGACAGCCTAGGCCTGGGGAGTCAACACGAGAGTGCCTTCCATGGCGATCATGATGCTGCCCACTTGTCTCCGAGGACGAAGATCTGGTTTCTGTTTCTGTTTCTGTCTGCTGGAGCTCGTCTTGGTCGTAGCGGTCCCGGGTTTGCGCGGCGGCAGCATCACTCTCTGCGATAATTCGAAGCACCTTTGATAGCCCCCCGTGAGTACCAACGACACACTCGAAGGCCCTTCGCGCAACCACCTCACGGAGTGGGCGCTGACTTCTGCTGACGTTGACTCTGCCGTTGTGGCGCTTGTTAGAGCCGCCGGCCTGCGAAGCCCTGCCTGATCGGGCAGTCACATCTCCATCGGCTTCGGGTGCAGCAGAGGAGCACTGTCGGTCATATTCGCTGCTATTCCCGCCGCCACGGGATGTTGCCCGACCGGTATCATGTTCAGCGTCTTCTAGTAGCGATGGCCCACTGCTGATGCTGCAAAAACTGGTGCTGCTGTTGATGCTGCAAACGCTTGAAAGGTCTCTTGTTCTAGTCATGCTTGATGCGAATTGCAAGCTAGCCTATGGAACAGCATTCGGTGAAGAATTGGCTCTACGAAAACACAGGATGGCGGGGCCAGTGCGATGCCCTCGACGGAAATCACGTGGTGCATCTCTGGGTGACTTCGTGCTTCATGAGGTGTGCATGCCCGTGCGGCGGGATCTCTCTCTCGTCCTTGCAGCCCGAAACGCAACAAAATACTATCAAAACCTCGCTACAGCATTCTCAACGTCTCAACGTTAAAGAGCTGGATTTTGCAATGCGACACACTTTTTCGGCTCTCCATCTCTCATCACATTGATCAAATACACACAACACGGGGCCCCACACCCCGGTGCGGCTAGTTCCGGAAGCACCCCTCCACAGGACAACACAACCGATACGCCCCCTTCCCTTCCCACCATGGTCAAAACATCGCCCGACGGACGTTTTCGCTACGTTAAGGTAAGACGAGTGGTGTGGTTGATCTACAACCGCATCACCCGAAGACGACTTTTTTTCTCGAAAACTCGACCGGTGCCATGTACGCCCGCGAAAAAACATCAACACCATCTTTTGGCGGGCGGGGAATTCTTCTACACGGCAAGTGTTGATTTGATGTACGGCAACGTCGGGCTTGTTGTTGAAGCTGCTGCGTGTGCCGTTGGTTGGAAACGCTGCCACACATGCGAGGCGGGTGTTCTTTCCTCTCGCTTCATCTATTTGATTTCCTCTCTCTCCCTCTCGCGTTTTCTCTCTCTCGTATATCTGTATGTGGGTATTCTGCTGCTGCTGCTCTGTTGGCTGCTGCTGTTGCGTGTGAAGGGAGGAAGTGGAGACGCTGCGGGGACGGCGTACGACACGGAAAACGGACTGCTCGTTGGCTGGAATGAGTTGAACTTAAGGTGTGGTGATGGGTGATCGGACAGCAGTTGTGGGTGTGGTGTGGATCGTCTCTCCGCTTACCGGTACAGGGTTAGACTATGCCATCCGTAATTTCATGTTGAAATTTGTGTGTTGCCTTTTCCAACATATCTAATAGAACAACAGGAGGCTCCTCGGTGAACGGATGCTTCTTTTGGAAGGAACATCGTGCTGAAGGAGTGCGCCAACGGCAGCCCACGCCGGGGACACGAATGTGTGTTTGAGCGCGCGTGTATCTTTGTTTGTATGCCTCCCATTGTTGCCATAGCCCGTTTCCTGCAGCACCCATCTCCCCATCGGTTCCCGGTTGTCCGCTAATATGAGGAAGAAAATACTTCGGTGTGTGCCAACCTCACCCAGTCGTGGGTGTGGGCAGCCAGTGACTGACATTACCAAGCGAGAAAACCACACAGATCACGATCGTAGGACGCGAGTTGTGTGGTGAGCAGCGATCGCGTTCGTCGTATGCATACATATTTGGCCTGCCTCAACTTATCTTGAATCACATTGCCTTGTGTCCCTGTTGCTCCATGTGTGCATCACAACAAAGATCACACGTTTGTCCGGGTGCCCCACGGCGGCTAATTACCTTTTTTTTTTTTTTCTCGCTCGGGCAAGGCCCGGGTCATCTTTTTTCTTTTCGTCTTGGAATGTTTTGTTGCTAGAGTTGTGAATTGGTACGAAAAAACGATATATTTTACATCGGCTGCGCAGCAGCCGATATAACGATATTTTCTCCGATATATCGCCTACGGCCGAGCGCAGCGAGCCGTGATGGGGGCGAGCGAAGCGAGCCCCCCCATCGGCCCCCCCCGGCTGGTGAGGGGGCCTCGCCGGAGGCGCCGCCGGAGGCAGAAAATTTGGTGCATTTTCCTTTCATTTCCCGTCAAAATGGGCCCAAATGCGGCATCAAACAGGGCTTGACTTCAGCTGCAAACATCGCACGGAATGTAGAAAAAAAAAAAAAAGATTAAGATTGATGTATTGTCGCGTATCCTCAGCAGTACCCTCCTTCGGTCTCTCCCTGTGTCTACTTCCCGGTTGGTTCTGGACATGAAAGCCAGCACTACGGCACTATGGATACAGCACTAGCGCTTATCTACCTCCCTACTACCTGCGCATGCAACGTGCAACCGAAAAAAGAAAAAAAACGAGCAAACGAGAAGGAACAAAAATTAAATGATCACTCATGGTGCTGTTGTCTGCTGTTTCTGCGCTGCTGTGCTGTGTGTGTGTGGCGTACAGGGGCTCCGTACTGCTGCGCATACCCTAAATTTGATTCACGGAGCCCCTAAGAAAACATCGGTCGGAACATCGGCACGAATTTTCGATACCGATATCGATATATATCGGACGATATATATCGTGTACATCGTTCCGATTCACAACTCTA